ACAGAATGGACTCTCACCCATCATCAGCACCTGTGAAATGCAGTTTCACATATTAAAACAAGCTGGGAATGTATATAAGGGATCACTGAAGCCTTTGCCACCTACGTTGCTAGATGTGCACTGCTGTAAGACAGCACAGTAATGGTGGGTCCCAAAACCAGGACTCTCTGTTCCTGGTGCCATATAAGCATAAAGGTAGACCAAGTTTAACTTCAGTCCATTTATTCTCTTGGTTCTGCGCTGACTTTGATTGATGGGAAGGGAAAGTCTCTGCAATTAACTGGCCTTCAGTTCAGAATCATATCATATGTCTGAAAGCTATTATTGTTATGATGAATATCAAAAGATGTGATATTCTCACTTACTCTCTTTTTAACTGGGTGAAAACCATCACTCTCTCCTGGTGAAGTCTTCAATAGTCACACACACTCATCTTTTTTTTTTTTTTTTTTGCATAATTCAGGCAAAAATAGAAGATCAGAGCACATTCTTCTTCCATGCAGGAAATGGATTTTATTTTTACATAGCTCTCCTCCATATGCACTACGGTGCATTTAATAACCCAAAGCCCGGGTTCTCTTAATAACTCAAAGACTGTGGGACGGATTCTCAGATACGCTCATAGGGAGCTCAAGCAGAGAGAGGAGGAGGCCCAGTGGATAACTGGTGGGTAGTTCTGTACTTTCTGTACTGTCCACCCCATCCCAATTTGCAGGTCTGAGTTCTACCATCTGGGTGATCGTCTCCACCCTGAAGACTGTACCAGGTTGGGCCAAGTATTTTCAGACCAGTACAAGTTCTCTGGTGTCAGTACTGACCATTGCCCAGCTTACTGCGGATGCCAAAGTGACAGGCAGGGGGACTAGAGGGCAGCTCGGAAATGCAGGGCTGTGTATCTGCCCGAGGGGGGGCAATGCTGGACGGGGAGGGTCATCCTCTGTAGTTCTAGTGCCTTTCAGTCTCCTCAGAGCAGTCAAACAACGCAATGAGATGCAAGTGGTCACCCCGACTCATGGCCAGGGCCTTTTCATTCTCCCACTTTCTCTCGATTAAAAAAAAAAAAACCACAAGGAAATTACTGTGCTGTTGCAGGGATACAGTGAGACCAGGAATTAGCTTTGTCTTATTTGGCTAGGGGCAACTTAAAAGAAAGCCTCACACTTTTGCATGCAGCATTTTTGTGACTCACAAGCAGCTAGGAGTAAACTGTTAAACCAGAAATCCAACCACGTACTTTGCCACACAGATTTCATCATTCAGGGAGCTGGATGTCTGCAGACATTGATCTATTATCAGAGCTACAAAGCATAGTAGCAAACAGGCAAGCATTACTATCAAGCACATTTCTGGTGTCTTTAATATTCTTCATAGAAGAGCTGTAAGCTTGGGGGAGTGCCATAGGCTGAAAAGGGGGAAGTGTTCTCCAGCTTTCCCTCGTTAGCTGATTTATTAGCATATCTTCCCCACTGGTTCGCTCCCTTCCACACAGAAGCGTATAGGTAGCTCTGTGGAGAATTAAGCCCGATTTCCATTTCCTTCAGAGATCTTCAAAACTGCAGTACGGCAATCCACCAAGAAACACTTTCCCAACCGGACAGATGTTGAGCACGGCAGCCTGTGTTAGAAACTATTTCCAAGAGCCTCGTGCAGTGGAAGATGAAACTGGCAGGAGGGTTGTGGGCCCTGAACAAAACTGTTCAAAACCCCATTAAATCCCTGTTACTCCTTTTCCTGACAAACTGAAGTATGAAGGACAGAAGCAGCAAGGGTAACCTCAGAAGTCTGAAGGATGCTGTGTCTGCTCCAGATTTGAACACTCTAGCTAATGAATTCTGGATGGGGAGGAAGGCAGAAGGGCTGAGCCTGACCAGCCTGCAAGAACTACAAATGAGACCATCCACAGCCACCCATCATTTGCAAACCAGGCTCCCTTCGAAGTCAGTGAATCTCAGCCTCCCAGTGCTGTGCTTTTCATCTTTCTGTATTTTACATAAAGAAAGAGTCTTGATGTCTGTAATGACGAGCCCAAAGGCTATAATCCCCTGATTATCCAAAGGACAGGTAGAGTGAAAGAGCCGTTTTCCTCACGGTATCTTGCCAATGTGATTCATCCATTAGCTGTAGGGGCCATCTATCTTGGAATGAGGCGGCAGCAGTGTCAGCGGGTCCCTCCCCTCGCTCGCTGCCTTCCTGCATATGTTAACAAGCTGGCCAGTTAAAAAACATTTGTAAGATGCTTCACTGACCTTGCAGTCCACAAAATCAGCCACGAGACACGTCATTAGCATCAGTGCAGTTAGGGGGCAGCTAATTTATGAACTTGGATTTGCTCAGACTGAGAAAGATTTCATTCTTTATTAGGGGGTTACTGTTGGTATTTAAAACTGTCGTTACTTCAGTGTTTCAAGGGAATTCAGGCAGGACTATCACAAAAGAGGCACATTATGAATAAACACTGGTAAGTTTTGCACAAATGAAGCATGTCCTTCATCAGCAATTCCTCATCTACCCAACAGTCCACCTATCAAATTCATATCTCTCCAATTTAGAGAGAAGGATGTTTGAAACATGTTTGGTGGGTGAGGAATCGGTTGGGTGGTCGCATCCAGAGGGTAGTGGTCAATGGCTCCATGTCCAGATGGGTATCAGTCATGAGTGGTGTCCCTTATGGGTCTGTGTTGGGACCAGAACTCTTTAATATCTTCATCAATGACACAGACAGTGGGATCAAGTGCACCCTCAACAAGTTTGCAGATGACACCAAGCTGAGTGGTGTGGCTGACACGCCTGAGGGATGTGGTGCCACCCAGAGGGACCTGGGCAAGCTCGAGGAATGGGCCCATGTGAACCTCACGAGATTCAAGAAGGCCAAGTGCAGGTCCTGCACGTAGGTAGGGGCAACCCCCAGTATCAATACAGGCTGGAGGATGAAGAGATTGAGAGCAGCCCTGCCAAGAAGGACTTGGGGGTACTGGTGGATGGAAAGCTGGACGTGAGCTGGCAATATGCTCTCGCAGCCCAGAAAACCAACCGTATCCTGGGCTGCATCCAAAGCAGCATGGCCAGCAGGTCGAGGGAGGGGATTCTGCCCCTCTACTCCGCTCTATTGAGACCCCACCTGGAGTCCTGCTTCCAGCTCTGGACGAGTGCTGGAGCCCTCAGCACAGGAAAGACATGGACCTGTTGGAGCAGGTCCAGAGGAGGGCCACAGAAATGATCAGAGGGCTGGAACACCTCTTCTACGAAGACAGGCTGTGAGAGTTGGGGTTGTTCAGCCTGGAGAAGAGAAGGTTGCAGGGAGACCTTATTGCAGCCTTCCAGTACTTAAAGGGGGCTTCTAAGAAAGATGAGGACAAACTTCTTAGCAGGGCCTGTTGTGATAGGACAAGGGGCAATGGTTTTAAACTGAAAGAGGGTAGATTTAGACTTGATATAAGGAAGACATTTTTTACAGTGAGAGTGGTAAACCACTGGCCCAGGTTGCCCAGAGAGGTGGTAGATGCCCGATGCCTGGAAGCATTCAAAGTCGGGTTGGACAGGGCTCTGAGCAACCTGGTCTAGTTGAAGATGTTCCTGCTCACTGTAGGGGGGTTGGATAAGATGACCTTTAAAGGTCCCTTCCAACCCAAACTGTTCTGATTCTGTGATTCTATGATTCTTGCTTTTAGGCTTAATTAGCAGGTAGAAATTTCATGCTTCGATCCTCTCTCAGGTTAACTCTTGTTTTGATGAGGCATCTTGAGTCTTCCAGTTCTGTGGGGACATGGGTTAAACGGCATCATTGCTTCGTGCTCTGAGCTTGTTTTTTCCAGGACATTTATGTTCAGATGGTAGTAATGTTGCTTTAGCCATTATAATGCAACAGCAGGTCCCTAGGTATGAAACATGCGGAGCCTTCTCAGGGTACGAACACACTAACAAACAAAATTGGTTTACTGGAATAAACTTGGTTGTACATTTATAGCGTATTAGCTGCCAACCATTAACCATGCATGTTCCTACCCAGTGGCACACTCTGGTAATTGCAAAGTAGGTTACTCTGCTTTCTTTCAAGGATAAGCTCCTTGGCCTTCATCTGGAAGTAAGGCATGCACACAGGCAGGTCCCTGCAGAGTAAGTCATTCGCCACAAGTTCACACCATGCCTGACATTCACATCAATAGAAGTTGACTTTGCATTGGATGAACTTAGTATTTCTCCATCCCTCTGTGCCACGTACAGGGAGGACACTTAAGATAGTCCTCATAAAGGTCTTCATTTGTGGTGATCTGACCAGGACCAGTGGGCTCACAATCCTCATCACATTTTTGAAACGCTTGTTTTACCTGTTCTGAATTTTATACCAAATGTTTAATATAAAATTTTATAATAATGGCAACCAGTTTCATTGCTAGAGCTAATCAAGGGAGTTCATTTACCAAACCTGTCCAAAGCTTAGCTTCTATATACAGAAAATAAACAAGAAAAAGAATTTTCATAATTTCTGTCTTTGATTTATTCATAATAAGACCTATTTACTTGGCAGAAGTTTCAAAACCATCTGTCTTTCTGATACGTAATGGCTCAAAACTCAGTGAGCAGTGTTTTTAACAGAAAACACTCGGAGCTAGTTTCAGACCTGCTGTAAGCAACCCCAACTCTGTTACTTGACCCATTTATTTCCATCAGACATCTTTGAGATGTGGTTAGCCTGCAGCACCTGAAACAAGCCATTGCTTTAGGTCCATTAACGTTTTCATTAACTGCCCCCCTCTCTCAGCTGATTAATGTAAGCTTTGTCCGTACCCTTCTTCTGAGTAAAAGCTTGGCACACAGAAATTCATTAAAAATTAATCATATTTAAATGAAAACTGTGTTTTAAAAGCTAGATAAATAAGGACAAACGTGATGGATCAACCCGTACTTATGCAAAGAAAAGCAATACAGTGTGCCAGTCCTTTGGAGGAAGGTATGGGTTTTTTCCAAGAAAAATTAGAGGGGACATGATAGTTTAGGGAATTGCTAATATAGGAATAAGCTGCAGAAAGGTGTACTAATTACTGGGCATACCTCAGACGTACTACTAGGCATGAGACTGATGGATGAATAATGAAGAGAATAATTGTGATTCTGATTTCATTTAAACCCTAAGTAGCTCCACTTAAATTAATGGAGTTCCACATGTGTAGCAGTGGTATGGAATCAGAATCAGATCCAAAAATGTTTTCAGCTAACTGGGATGCATACCTCCATACAGTCCTTGGTGGTGAGAGGCTAGATTTGAAAGATTGCAAATATAGCTCATAGCATTAATAATTCATATTTTTAAAATATGCCTTTTTCCTCTGTACAGCTATAACAAAAGAAATAGCCCCTAGAAAAGCAAAAATTCCCAAGCCCTACAACTTTTAAAGAAGAAAGCCCCATCTTGCAATGCAAACATGGAGAGTAGATCGTTTACAGAAACACTAGCCGGGGAGCTGCTAGCTCTTTTGCACAAGTCAAATGCATGGCACAGTTAGGAAGAACACCAGGTGACAGTTACCTGATGGGAAACCAGATAAATGACAATGACTGTTTACACATCTTCTCAATGATAAGGACACAGCCATTCAACACGGAAATCTCTGGCCTGACTGTGGCCTCATTAAAAACCTTCGACAACCCAACTGTATGTAAGGTGTTGAATTTCCAGAGATAAATTCAAACGCAGCCCTCTCTGAAAGGCAGCCTGATTTTGTTGAAATGAAAGGACTGAAAAGATATGGAGTTACTCTCTTCTCTGTGATCAGGATGCCCCAGAACATGGTGAATGTACAGGGAACTGCTCTTACGAAGGTGGGACCCGCCCCACAGAGAGAGGACTGTACCTTCAGGACACATTTCAGGAGTAATGAGTACACTTGCAGAACAAGAATTCAAGAAACTAGAGACAGCAGAACCATTAATGTAGGAAAGATAGGCGATTTCCAAATAGCACTAAATGCATAGTGAATCCAGAAATGTGGTAACTTTATTTTAGAATACATCTTTGGATTTAATTCTGTCACCTTCATTATCCATGACAGCTGATCTATATAAATAAACCCTCCCTTTTTCTTTTCCAGATGTTCCTACAGCAGCCAACGGTGTCCCTGAGCTTTAGCAATGCTCAGCAGCCGGAGCCACAACAGCTACAGCAGAGATCAGGGGGCATTCCTCAGCAGCAGCTTGTCCCCAGTCCTCAACTTCAAGGGCAAATTGCATCTTCGCAAACAGCGAACCAGCAAGCACTGAGAGAAGCGAGCGTGATATCAAGCCAGGTAATCATTTCTTTGCATAGAGAAGCATTTATATGGAAAGAAGACACCGAGCTGTTACTAAGCAAGCAAGTAAAATCATGTCAGTCCTGCAAGTGTACCTTTGCCTTTCCTTTCCTATTCTCCTATATAAGGGCAACCTATATAAAGGGTCTCCCTATAGCATTGACTTTACCTTAAACCCTTTTTTTAAGACCTCAGCCAGGAGGGTTACTTGAGCAGCTGTTTCAGCTTGAAAACTGAGCAGGGCAGGATGCAAAAGGTGTGAATGACTTACTGTTCTTCCGTTGATCCTGAAGGGAATCTGACCACGCTGGAAACTAGCAATAGTGGTGTCGGCAGTGCAACCTCTCAAAATGAGCTCTACCCCTGCTCACTCCCTGAATCCAGTCGGATCCTGCCAACACAGCGAAGCCTGTCTGCTGTGGCGGCACACAGCTGGAATACATTGAGATTTGTGTAAGACCCCTGGTTGTGAGCGTAACAGATTCCTGCACAGGGAAATAAAGTTCAGCCTCAGTTAATAGTAACAGAGATCTGTGAAAACTAGTAGGTTTGGCACAGCATTTTCTTCCTTATTGCTGGTTTCTTGGCATTTCCAGTTTTTGTTCTTCCACCCACCTGTTGTGCCTCCCTTCACAGACAGCTTCGCTCCTATTTCTACTACCTGAGCGTGTGGCAAATGTAGCTGCACCATTATCTTCAGACCCCTCAGCTGTAGCTTTTAACCTCCTACATACCTGTATTATTATGACTCTATTAGTGTGTAAGGATTATAACCAGGAAAACAAGAAAAACGACCACCTTTTTTTTTCTTTAATAAGGCCGATTCCCATCATTGGGCTTTTACGGCATTGCTAATCACACCTAACTTTGCTCTTGCGTCTTGGTGGGGTCTCGCTTTGTCTCCTCGGCTGCTCGAGGGCACGTCGGGGGCGCCTTTGCTCAGCGCTCGGGTGGCCGGGGTTTGCAGGCCGGCTAGGCCAAGCGCGTTATTAACGGCCACTGTACCCACCGCCGCGCTGTCACGGCCCGTGTCTTCAGGTTCTCTCCACGCAGCGTGACCGAATTTCGCTCTCTCCCCGCTCTCCTCTCTTCCAGGGCCCGAAGGCGGCGAGAAGCGCGGAGCTGGCGCCGGGCGGCGGCCGCCCCCCCCGAGG